TGCCTTGAACACCGGCAGCTCTCCAGGAGGGCGCTTCACCTTGAAGAGCCACCGGCGATCGACTACGTTCACCCCAGGTGGGGGAACTGCTTCGGCATAGGTGCCAGTGGATCTCCAAGATGCCATCTCGGCGTCCATGGCAGCTATCCACTGAGAGGCCCAGGGCCCCGAGGTTGCCTCAGTGTAAGTGCGAGGGGTCGGGATGTCAAGGGCGTCTGGGTCACCATAGGTGAGTACTTAGTAGCATTTGGAAAGTGAGTATTTAGACGTGACTTAGGTGAGCTCCGGGACAGATGTTGCAGGTTAGTTGACGACTGCTAGGTCGAAGCTCTTGGCCGTTGGTTAAAAGGAGAGCATCCTTGTCAACAAGTGAGGCTTTAATAGAGTTGTTGAGAGCTTCTTGCGAGGGATGACCTAACCACTTATGCCAGATTTCTGCTGTAGTCATGTGTCCCTTTGAACGCAGGTACAAGTCGGAGTGAAGGAAGAAGGCCAGCGAAAGATGAATCGTTGGTGCAGAGTTAACGCAGTGGCCAGTGCCAAAAGTCTGGATGAACCCGACTTGTTCTACAGTTTCATCCCAAGGTATGCCGAGATGTCGGCGACGCGCCCAAGAATCAAGTACGATTAACTCTTTGCCCCATGTGCGTTCAACCTCCATAGGTTCTTCGATTATAGCAGATATTGGTTCTTGATTGTCGTAACCCCAATTTCCATCTGTAGATGCCCATGTACTTTGAACCGTTTCTGCTGCTGCTGATGCTGCTTTTGCTGGCTCTGCTGCAGGTGCGTCGATGGAGTTGGTGCGAAAAGGCTGAGGCGTGACGCAAAAGACATTGAGACCACAATGGTCTTGGCGTTGAAGATCTGTTTCCCAGTGATGATGCCAAGGAGCAAGTGAGATGTTCTTCTCACTGTCGCCAGATGTCTTCACACATGAAAACCGTAGAACGGAAACACCGTCTTTAATTTCTGCGATTCTGACTAAATTGCTTTTGTCTGCCTTCTTGTCGCCCAGGTACAAAATTCGTGAGCATCGTGTTGGCAGTGCTGACAAAGCAGATGCCGCTTTCCATCAACTGCTCTTGTCATAGTGGGTTGAAGCCGAGTCCCTTGGCAACAAGAACCTTGTTCAGGTGAAGTGAAAATTTTGTGTCGTCGGGCTCGATTATCACATCTACAATTATGGCTGCTTCAATAACCTGATTGTTAGCAACTGTGATGTTGCACTTCTCTCTGTTTGGCATGTCTTGCTAGTTGAGAAGATATTGACTTGTAGATGCCATGTGGTGACCACAGCAGTTGTCAAGAAATAAGTGTTAACATGCTCGGGATACGTACGCTTGGCGATATGGGCGTACGGCTGCACGTTCAGCCGTCGAGGAAATCCGTTCGGCTGCTCTGGTTCTTCTTTGTTAACAACTGCAGGTTCTTGAGTTTCTGAACGAGGACGAAGACGTGGAGGTGGGTTGGCTACTCCTTCAATGTCACTGTCGCTGTTATTGTCTCGTCTTCTCCAATAGCGTATACGACTAGACCATCATGCAATTAAAAATTGCTCTTCCTTTTGCAGGTTGAGTTGAAGAAGCTGAAGGTGGCGAGATAGTCTTGACATGGGCGGCTTCATCCGACTTCTACCGATTCCTGTTCTTCAGTTTCTGACACTCTTCAATATTATGACCTACTCGTTTGCAAAACTTGCAGAAGCCCTTTCCTCCTTTTCTTTTTTGCTCCCATTGATTTGATGCACCTCTTGTCTGCTCCTCTTGACTTGATACACCTTTATAGAAGCTTAACCCACTCTTGGCTTTGCTTCCTTTTGCGTCGTACAGCTCCAAGTCCTGCTGCTCTGCCATCAGAGCAGCGCAAAGAGAAGTTTCTGAGATGTTCCCTTGGGAACGAAAAAGGGACTTGCACTGCCTCCATTCGGGTCCAAGTCCAGCCAGAAGGATAGTGATGACGAGCTCGTTACTAAGGTTTCCTCCACACTTGCTGAGCTGATCCCGAAGTGTTCTGCGCCTGTTGATGTAGCTGCCGAGTTTTTCTCCCGGGAGCATTTGAATTGCTGTAAGTTGACGTTACAACTTGCTATGTGTGACAGAAGCGTGTGCTTGATATAACTTGCGCAGGTAGTCCCAGGCATAGAAGGATGGAGCAAGTGAAGGTTTGAAGCACCGAACCCCCAACTGCTCTTTAGGTGAGAGATTTCACACCAGTAGTTTTTAGGTCATAAGCGAATACTTGTAATAACGCGCCTGTTCTTCGGTCGTTCCTGTTTCTGGGTAACGGATTGAGCCGTCGAAATATCCCCAGATACCAGAAGATTGTGCGAGGAGTTCAAACTCAAATCCCCAAGCATAAAAGTCGCGGCCATCAAAGTAAGTTGAGGTCTTCATCTTGGAGATAGTTAGGAAATCTCCTTGATTTACTTCAATTTCTGCTGCGAATGGTCTTGCTTCTGCCATTCGATGTTGTTGCTGCTGTGGTTCTTGTTGCTGTGGTTGAACAAGACGCCCATGGAAGGCAAAAGACCCAGCAGATTCATCTCCAGGGGCTGAAGGCCCAACAGCAACAGCAGCTCTTGCATACATAGAGTTATCAAGGCTCATACAAGTTGTAGGATGCGCTGGAGCTTGTTGTTGTTGCTGATTAGACTTGGTAGCCATCAAAGAAGCAAAGTCAGATAGATCGTTAGTAGAAATACCAGATTTAGGAGAATTCGTAGTTGAATTTCCTGTCTTAGCAGCTGACATAATTATAGATCTATGACTTAAGCTTAAGGGCGTAATTGAAATCAGCTTGTATCGGTTCCTGTAAGGAAATTCCATTTTCCTTACTGGGTTCGACTACAGCGCGTACGCCCTCGACTCTCGGAAGTCCCGGCCCGGCCAACTTCTTCGGTCCCGAACCATTTCGCGAACCCAAACCTGGATGCTCAGCGCTTCCGTGACTTTCGCCAACCGAACCGCCCCAACCTGTTCGCGTGGTTCTCGACTAGCTCTGTTCGTGCCCATAAATGCCTAGGCCCTCATTTGTATCGACACTCTTGAATCACGACTCCTTTATTACACTACATGTTATTGCTCTGATTAATTCATAACAGCTGGTATTAGAGACCCATTCCTGCCTGCTTAGTCTTCCGTAGAGTAGTCCGTTTATATCGGGAGAGGACCCGACAGAATAGGGGGTTGGCCTGCGATTGGTAGGCGAGCTTGTTAAATCTCCTCCAACTAAAAGCATGTGCACCCTCACATATGTCAGGAAATTTTTCCAGCATGCCTACCACACCGGAAACCTCTGCCCGTCGTAGTGTTAGGAACGTGACTCAGGAGGAGTTTGACAAGTTGCAAGCCAGGGCGGCTACAGTGACAACACTGCAGGCCCAGTGCCGATAAGTTCGAGTTGCTGGGAAGCGAAGTGCAGATGCTGCGCAACGAAAACTCGTCGCTTCACCAGACGCGGGGTGAAACGCGTCAGGGGCGGCCCGTTACCCGAGACGAAGATGCTGCGAGCAAAGTGAGGGCGTTGGCGACATCTGAAGCAGTTGAAGAAGTCCACAGCGAGCCGCGGGCGGCCATTAAAATCAAACCTCCAATGCCACCACCGTTCAACCCGACTGACATGACAACTACAGTGAGTGGGTGGCTGTTCGCCATGGAAATCTTCTTCACAGCAGCAAGTATTAATGACAACACATCACGTGTCAACTTGGCTGTGTTGCTGCTGAGGGGGCCGGCACTCGACTGGTGGCGCATGCATCTAGACGAGGGAGGAGCCCCGGCAGGGAATCAACGGGCGGTAGATGGGGAACACAGTTCATCAACGGTGAAGGCAGAACCGATCTTCGGGTCGGCCACGATCCGCACGTGGAAAGCGTGGGGCGAAGCGTTGAAGGGCAGATTTGAGCATACATCCATGCGCAAAAATGCTCGCACAAAGCTTCGGATGTGGAGACAGTTGGGTTCTGTCCAAGAATACACAGCATCATTTCTGGCAATCTGCGACCAAATCGGAGGGCTTAGCAAAGACGAGCGCATCGATCGCTACGTGGGTGGTCTCAAGCCGGAGATTCAGCAAGAGATCGTCCTGCGAGCCCCGGTGACATTCAACGAAATAGTTCGCATAGCAGATGCGCTGGACGCACGACGTGGACTCGCTAGAGTGGATTTCCAGGAGGGAAATTGCTTTCGAGGCCAGCTCCAACACACATCAATCAACGGCGTGGACGTGTTTGCAGCCCGAGTAGTTTCGAGATCCTGCTTCCACTGCAACCATCTGGGTCACATGGTGAGGGACTGCCCGCAGCTGATGAAGAACTTAACTAACGACAAGAAGCAATCGGGAAATGGAGATCGTCAGTAGCAGATGGGCCACCTACTGACTTGACTGCGTCGCCCTAACGCCACCACCCCCACCAGGTTATAGTGCCGATTTGGGCTATCGACCATTCCTGGCTGAATAAGGGGGGTGAACCAGTTGATCGCCTTGTGCTGGTTGAAGGAAGAATTGGATATACCCGCATCAAAATATTCGTTGATGGTGGGGCGAGCCACAGTTTGATGGACGTGATGAAGGCAAAAAAAGTACGATTGCGGCTGGAGCACTGCATGCCTGAAATCGACGCGAGATTGGTTGACGGCACACCACTGGCAATTCGGGAGCGGGTACCTCGCGTGCGAGTAACATGCGGCGAAAACTTAAGTTTCACGACAAAGATGCTGGCGACAACTTTGGACGGCTGCGATATGCTGCTGGGACGCGATTGGCTGCACGAATACAACCCGAGCATTGATTGGCGGACGGGCGATTATTGCATCAAATGGAGTGGCGAGTGGCGACGACTACCCAAGTGGAGCTGTCAAGATTCGACCACATCGACGCTCAGCGTAGTGACGATTAAGCAAGCCATGATTCGAGGGGCGCAATTGTATGCTGTCCGATGGATCGCATCCACAGCTGTCGACACGCCAACCGACATCGACAAACTCTGCGCAGTTGTCCCGGATGATTTGGCGATGGTAATTCGGAAACACGCCGACATTTTTCCAGACGACCTACCGGTGGGTTTGCCATCTGAGCGAGAACATGACCACAAAATCGAGCTGGAGCCCGGCACGCAACCTACTGTTAGGACTCAATGGCGGCTGACTCAGCCCGAGCTGGATGAACTTCGACGCCAGCTGGACTACCTGCTCGAAAAAGGTTTCGTTCGCCCCAGCACCTCACCGTTTGCAGCTCCAATCATGTTCACCCCGAAGAAAGATGGCGGTCTATGAATGTGTATTGACTACCGTGCCTTGAACCGGGTTACCATCAAGTCTCGTTATCCTATCCCGCGTGCCGACGAGCTCATCGACCAACTTCGAGGAGCAAAATTCTTCTCGAAAATTGACCTTTGAGGCGGTTACCACCAAATCCGCGTGACCGAAGCTGACTGCTGCAAGACGGCGTTTCGGACCCGGTACGGCAGTTACGAGTATACAGTTTTGCCTTTTGGCTTAACAAACGCGCCTTCGACGTTCCAGTTAACAATGAACGAGGTTTTTCGGCCACTGCTGGACAAATGAGTCATCGTGTACCTCGATGACATCCTGGTCTATAGCATTACCCTGGAGCAGCATTTGAAGGATTTGACAGCAGTTTTCTCTCTCTTGCAGCAGCACCGACTCATCACCAAGGGCTCTAAGTACGAGTTTCTAAAACACGGACTGGAGTTTTTGGGCCACGTAAGTTCCATAGACGGTGTTAAAATCGACCCCAAGAAGATTGCGACCATCCAGGACTGGAAGCCGTCGGCTAATCTCCGCGAACTTCAGAGTTTCCTGGGGTTTGTGAATTACGCCCGTCGTTTCATTCCGAACATGGCGGGGGCACTTCCCCTCTCACGGATCTCCTGAAGAAGGGCCGGTTTTATGAGTGGGGGGGAGAGCAGCAGGTTGTGTTCGAACAGCTCAAACTTTTCTTGACTACATCTCCGGTTCTTCGGATTGCATATCCTCACTGTTCGTTCGAGCTCATCACTGACGCTAGCGATCTGGCTGTTGGCGCAGTAGTGTTACAAGACTTCGGAGAAGGCCTCCAACCCATCGCCTACGAGTCACGAAAACTGAACCCGGCCGAGCGAAATCATCCTGTCCACGACAAGGAGTTACTCGCCATTGTTCACGCTTTCAAAGTCTGGCGCTGCTACCTGACGGGCACTGACGTAATAGTCTGAACAGACCACAAATCGCTACAGTTCATCCGCGCCCAACCGACACTGAATCCCCGACAGATTCGCTGGCTCGACTACCTCGAGTGCAACTTCCACCACAGAGTCACCTACAAAGGGGGTTAGCAACATCGCCGACGCATTGACCCGCCCTTCAGTCCACACCTCCGCCATCCTAATTACCCACGCTAATCCGCTGCTAAGTGGCCTATTCACCCACGGATACAGTACTGACCCATTCTTCACTACTAACCGTCATCCCCAACTGACAGACAAGCAAGGGGCATATTACCTAAAATCCGCTACCAATCGGATTTGGGTTCCTGCCTACCGTACCCTAGGGGAATTACTGATCTAGGAGGTACATGACTCGAATTTATCGAGTCACTACGGCATCGACAAAACCGCCAAATTACTGAGCCGTAATTATTTCGACCTACTGGATTGCTGCAGCCACTCGAGCCACCCAACCGACCCTGGCAACAAGTGACGATGGATTTTGTCACTGGCCTGCCAGCTGGTCCAAGCGGTAATGACGCGATTCTCGTCGTCGTTGACCGGTTGACCAAGATGGCCCATTTAACCATCTACAAGACGACGATTACTGCCGAGCAGACAGCGAAACTGTTCCTTACGAACATCGTGTAGCTATACGGCATCCCCTCGGCAATCATCATCGATCATGACCCACAGTTCATGTCCAACTTCTGGACAAAAACCTGGCAGCAGTATGGCACACGTCTGCATCTGTCCACGGCGTATCACCCACAATCGGACGGCTAGACTGAGCGCACCACTCAAACGATGGAGCAGCTGATTCGCACGACGTGCACAGACCCGGCCCAATGGGAAGACGCCCTTCCCTTGATCGAGTTTGCGTACAACAATGCCCCATCGGCCACGACTACGCAATCCCCGTTCTTCCTTAATTACGGGATAGATCCGACAACCCCTCTATCGCCCCCGATAGAAAATCCGGCAACCAGGTCGCAGAAGTTCGTCGAAAATCTCTGGCAGTCTCAGCAAAAAGCCGCCGATGCCATCCTCAAAGCCAATCAGAGGGCTAAGAAGCAAGCTGACCGACGACGCCGAGACTTTACGCTTGCCCCCGGGCAATTGGTCCTGCTCGACACCAGAAATTTGGGAATTCCCCTCCCAAATAAATAACGACCAAGATTTTGCGGCCCATTCCGCATCATTCGCATGGTGAGACCAGTCACTGCCCAGCTGCAACTGCCGGCCGACCGGCGAATTCATGATTCATTCCACGTCAGTCTCCTGTGACCGTTTGTCCCGAGTACGACTAATCTCGACACATCAATCCTACGGTCAACCCAGTACCCGAGCAGACGATCGAGCCATCCAAGCTTCTCGCTCATCGCGCATGAGGCCATCGAGATACAGCAGCCGTTGATTTCCTTGTACGATGGGTCGATCGCACGACTGATGACGATCTTTGGGTCCCCGCGGCTATGCTCGGCGGACACAAAGTCGTCCGGGACTACTTACACCGAAAACGTGTCCCAGATGTGGGTAGTCTCATCCCGGAAGGGGGGTGGTGTAAGGAAAATCCATTTTCCTTACTAGGCTCGACTACAGCGAGTACGCCCTCGACTCTCGGAAATCGAGGCTTGGCCAACTTCTTCGGTCCCGAACCATTTCACGAACCCAAACCTAGACGTGCAGCGCTTCCGTGGCTTTCGCCAACCGAACCGTCCCAACGTGTTCGCGTGGTTCTCGGCTAGCTCTGTTGGTGCCTATAAATGCCTAGGCCCTCATTTGTATCGACACTCTTGAATCACGACTCCTTTATTTCACTACCTGTTATTATTCTGATAAATTCATAACAGTTCCTGTACCGTAATCACCCGGATAGACGCCCCTCGGGGCATTTACGAGACTGGTTTGAAAACGTGGGGGGCATTAAATTGAATAAAAAAATATGCGCCCATGGGCGTTTTAAAGGGATTATATGGAAATTTTAAAATTGCCATTAAAACGTAGCTACTTGTCAGACTTGTGCTGGGAGATTAATTTTTGCCAGGCTTCATGATTCAATCACAATGGAAGTCCAGTCGGCAAGTTGCCAGGCTGGAAACACACCGTTCTGACACAAATCGTGCTGGCGCGAAGTGTCAGAGAGGGTGAGTTCCGCTTCTAGCGGGCATGAAGCGAGAAACCTCAGTATTACCTGGATCCGCTTCGACTTTTTGCGCAGTATTTCAAGACAAATTACGCAGGGACTTATAGGAAACAGGCTTAGAGAAATTATGGGGGGCCTGTAATCGAATAATGCTTATAAGTCCCAATGCACGAGTTAGAGCCCATGGGACTAGTCCTACAGAGGGGCGTCTATCCGGATGATTACGGTAACTCCACTAGCTCATAATCAGGGCTTCATAAGTCAGGACAAAATGCCCTGAAATGCTGTATATCAGGGTGTTTTTTTAGGGTCGTCCTGTTTTTTCAGCTTTTGATTTTCCCTTGGCCTGAATTTTAGGGGTTCTCATTTGAGCAGGCCTGAATTTTAGTATGTTCTTGTTTTGGTCACCCTGAATTATCAGCCTTAACGGATTTTCAGCCTGAAACAGAGTCTTTTCGGTACCCCCCCCCGACAATCGCGGCTGGAATGGGGTGTGTTATGGAGCACGTGTGAGGGGCGTGATTGATCCTTAACCAAAAACACATCCCTCGTTAAAGAGCACGTGAGAGGAGGCTGGTGATTGGTCCTTAGTCAAAATTACAAGCAGCTTCGTGGAGCAGAGGGTGTGCTGGAACAGCTGTTAGGAGCAGGTTTGGTCTAGGGCGAAGTCAGGGGTTTACCAACCAATCGGGGGTCGTGTCGTGTTACTACTGAGCACCCGCTACCTGCCAGGCCGACGACGATGCACCCATCTTTCGATCAAGCTGGCATGCACGCTGCCACACCGTATCGCGTGGTGCGTGCGACCACCACTCAACCCCTCGTCGTCCCAGTCGAGCATGCTCCTTCTAGTACATCGCTTTCTTGCGGTGCGGGCAAACGTAGCAAAAGGCTTGTAGCTCACTCAGTTTTTTCGCTCCACCTTTGCTAGCTGCTCTGTGTCGACTCTCTGCACCACCTGCTCGACTGTCTCTCACTCACCATCTCATGCCATGAGCGACGAAGAGGGATGTTCTTGTGCGTCCTGCAAGGAAGGGCGCCGTGTGGAGTGTCGCCGATACTCGTATCGACCCTTTCCCTCCCCTGCCTAGCAGTCCGCAGCGTAGATCTGCTGTTGCGTCTACTACGCCTCAGAGCCCCGCGATTAACACTGGCCGCGCGTCACCTGTCGTGCACAGTCCTGCACGCGAGTCTGCGCGCTCTTCTCCTCGCATATACAGCCCGCCAGTGGTGGCTTCAGTCTCCTCTCCGTGCATTTGCATCCCTTCTGCCGAGGCTACACGTGGGTTCATGCTTGTGCGCAGCCCTGCGCGTGATGATGCTGGCTCGTCGTCGTTGCCCCGCTCTCCGGCTCACGACGCTCCGCAATTCTCCCCGATCCCACGCAGCCCGTACGGTGATGCTGGCCGTGTGTCGCCCCACCCTCGCAGCCCAGAAGGCGACGCAGGGCAGGCGGTCGGAGCGGCCGGTGATGGCGGTAGTGGAGCAGATCGCGGTGCGCCTAATTCTCCCCCGAAACGAGCGTACCGTCAAGCGTTGCTGTCGTTTCGGCTTCCGACGACTGTCGACAAACATCCTGCCGCCATCACGTTCGCCACAGCTCGTGCCACCGTTCAATCACGGAGGCACAAGCCGTCACGTGCTCCACTGGTGGATGCAGCCTCTCCGGCAACGACAACACGACATGCCGAGAAGTCGGCAGGCGGTGCTGCGTCAACTACGCCAACGAGTGCGACTCCAGTGGCCGGCACTTCTACTGCGACACCACTGGAGTCACGCATCCAATCGTCAGCCACCGCTGATGAGGAATTTGGAGAGGTTGCTGACTTGTTGTATCTCCAAGCTCTGCAAAATTTCAAGTCAGACTGGCAAGAGCGGTTTCCTTGGTTGCTCCTATGTCGTACTAAAAATGGCCTTCCATCCCTGCGATATAGTGTGTGTACAGATCATGGCGTCCTGGGCACCAAATATGGTCGAGATGGGGAGGGCGCAGTTGACGTGAGGCAATGAAGAGGCATGGCCGGTCAACACGGTACAAGGCATGCATCAAGGCGAAGAGGAAGGCCATGGAAGACGCTCAGAAGCAGAAGAAGATATCAGACTTCCCACAGGCCCAAGATCTCGAGAAGGGACGACTCATCGCGCTGCTGTGGGTCCTGCATTTCATCTGCCAGTGCGATGCGCCGATCAACACTTGGGTGAAGCTCGTCCGCTTCCTAGCGAAGCGGAAGTGCCCCGGCTTTCCAAAAAAGAGCTACGGAAACTACTACACCTCGTGAGTTTAGGACATGAATGCTTTTGCCCACTCCTCACTTATGCCTACAATTGCCTTGTCTCACGTGGTGAGCTCTACACCCCATGCAGGTACGGCTTCGCGCAACTGATGCAGTCTCTGTCAAACTGGCTTCATGCTTCTCAGCTACGCCACATTCACGCGAGTCCCTTCATTGGGCTGAGTTGCGACGATTCGACTGACCGCACTCGAGGGAAACACTTGATTCTGTTTGTAACATTTCTGCGTGATGGGCATGTTGTGACTGAGTTCAATGCCTTGCTAACACTGGAACAGTGCGACGCAGCATCTATTCATGCTCTCATTCAGGAACATCTAGCCAAGTTTGGCGTGCACCCCGACAAGATTGCCGGCATCAGCACGGATGGGGCTGCTATCATGATGGGCTCCAACACCGGCCTCGTCACTCGCATGTGTGCCATGTCACCGTGGCTGGTGTCCTGCCACTGCATAGCTCACAGGTGAGCCACGGTGCATGTGTTTGCCTCTCACTTCCCGTTACCCGACCATGACTTCTGACGACTCTGGTGTCTGTACTCGCTGTGCCTCTCCAGCTACTGTTTGATCACAACGCTGATGCTTCTGCTGTTTCTGCTGTGTACGCAGGGAGGCCCTCGCTGCGAAGGATGCTGCAACCACCGTTCCAGAGCTAGCAGTGGTTGACAAGCTCATCCGGACCGTTGCTGAGTTGCTGGGTCGCTCTGGAAACTGGCATGCACACTTCAAAAACCTCCAAGACGTCTTCACCCAGACGAACCTCGAGATGCAGGGTATTTTCAATATACGCTGGCTATCTCGAGGTGAGGCGATCGCCCGCCTCGTTGACGTGCTACCAGCTGTGGTCATTCTACTTCTTGAGTATGACCAGGAGATGTACAACATCGTAAAAAGCTACAAGTTTCACCTTTTCCTCTACTTTCTGGCTGACATGCTTGGCTTACTGAACAGCCTCAACAAAAAATTCCAAGCCCGCCAGGTTGGTTTCTTGCATGGTCCTATTATGTTTGTCTAATCGTGTATCTCCCTGAGCTATCTGCCCAAGCCCTCTCCTACCACAGGTCAAGTTGACGGTCGTCCAGGGCCTTATTCGGAGGACCGTCGTCTACATCAAGCAGCGGTGCATCGAGTGCGGCAGCACCTTCGGGGGTGGCAACCCGCCGCTCCTCACTGCATTCATCGAAGCGCACCGCACCAGCCGCCCCGTCACCATTGAGGGATGCAAGTCCGACGGCACATCAATCGTGCACAAGTTTGACATGCACGACGAGCGCCCTGGCGAGGACCACGACGAGTGTAGCAGCATCTGCATGAGATTCGTCAAGGCGACCGAGCAGAACATTGTTGAGCGGCTGGGCGACTTGGAGAAGCTCAACGGGTGCAGGCTCTTCACCCCGGAAGCATGGCCGCCAGGGAGGAAGGAGCGGAACAGCCAGTGCATGGACTGGCTGCAGAGCTTGTTCGACCTCTTCCGCGCAGCCGGGCGTCGGGAGGTTCTGCCAGGTAAGCCGTTGCTAACCGTGCATGAACCCAGCTGTAACCATGCATCATGCCTGCGTGTCATCCTTATCCCCATACTAACGGCCTGCATCTATACCATGCATTCTCCTCCCCTTGCGCCCTCTGATTCTGTGCAGGTGTTAACAAGAGGGCGGCAACCAGGGAGCTGCAGACTCTCATCTCCCTACTAAAAGATGCTCCCGTGGGGGAGCAGAAGTTCTACGAGGGGCTGGCGGCGATGCTGAAGTCGGATGACTGGACAAAAGCCTTCCCGAACCTGGGCCGCTTGTGGGTCGCGGTCGCAGTGCTACCACTGTCTATGGTGGAGTGTGAGCGCGGCTTCAGTCGGCAGAACATCATCAAGAGCTGGTGCCGAGGCAGCCTAGGAAACGCCACGCACGAAAGCCTCATGAGCATCGCGTTGCTCGACAACGAGCCTGATTGGGAGGAGGTGGTGAAGGTTTTTCGAGGGAAGAAGCGGAAGCAGTTCTCCACCCGCATCCACCCCCGAGGTCGGGTGAAGAGCTTGAAGGGGAAAGAAAAGGTGGTGGAGGGGCCAGGGGAGGAGTTGGATGAGGGGCCAGAGGAGGAGGTGGAAGATGAGCTGGAGGAGGGGAACAAGGAGGGGAGAGGAGGGGGGGTTGGTGGAGCAGAGGTCGATGAGGATTTCTGGTATGCATCAGAGGGTGAGGAGGAGTGCAACAGCGGCGGAAGTGAGTCAGACGAAGACGAGGAGTAGCAGGTGGACCAGCAGCAGCAGCAGCAGCAGCAGCAGCAGCAGCAGCAGCAGCAGCAGCAGCAGCAGCAGCAGCAGCAGCAGCAGCAGCAGCAGCAGCAGCAGCAGCAGCAGCAGCAGCAGCAGCAGCAGCAGCAGCAGCAGCAGCAGCAGCAGCAACAGCAGCAGCAGGAGCAGCGTCAGCTGCAACAACACCAACACCGGCAGCAGCAGCGGCAGCACATGGAGCAGTTGGGTGCAGCAGAAAGAGCAGTAAGAGTTCTAGCAGCAAGAGTGGCTGGCAGCATCAGTAGTAGTAGTATGGGCCAGTAAGTCAACACAAAAGGCAGCAGCAGCAGCACCATAGGCTGTGCTTTTCTAAAATTGTTAAACTACCAAGTGTATACCATGAAAACATTGAAAAAAACAAGTCAACGTTCAGTCTAACACATTGTGCTAGGTCAAAAGCAAACCCACCCAAAAAAAAATGCAGAAGTTCAACACTAACATGTCAGGCCTGTAAATCTTTAGTCCTGAACTTTCAGCCTTCGAAAAAATTTACCCTGAAAAAATATGCATCTTTTAAAACCAGACCCTGAAAAATGGGGATTCCTGCTGGGGGCACCCTGAGCCAACAGCCCCTCAAAATCCAATCTGAAGCCTTGCTCATAATACCATCTAGAAGTGAACCACTTGTTTAGGGTGTCCAGGGTCTATAGTTGGTGGGACCACGAGTAAAATACAGCGGAAGACTTAACGCCTTGTATTGGAAATGTCCGAAATGACAAGGATAATAATAATGAATGATACAGGCATATTTATAGTCTAGGGAGTACATATTCAGAATGTACCTGTTCGTAGTGTAACGCGACTATTCGCGTGACATGACTAGTGATTGTTCATGTGACTGAGAGTGGCGTGACCCTTCGGGTGACTATACGCGCGAACAAACTGTTAATTCGTTGACTCGCTACTGCTGACGTCATTACGGGCGGTCTTCAATATGAGGCATCGCGCTACTACTACAGTCAAAATTTTATACCAGGAATGCATAAGTATACTCTGTCAAATATACTTCAACATCAACAGGGTTCAATAATAATTTTAACTTTTCATCATGGTCGGTACCGTAATCATCTGCATAGACGCCCCCAGGGGCGTTTTTAGGACTGGTTTAAAAACGTGGGGGGTCTGTTTATTTGAATAACAAAAATTATGCCCATGGGCGTTTAAAAATGTAAATAGCCAAATTGATATTTCTACATCAGATGGTAGCTTTTGCTTTGCTTCATGCAATGGGATCACTTTTGACGAAAATTCACACATCCATCGTGCTGAAAGTCCAGTCGGCAATGTGCCAAGGTGGAAACAGGCTACTTTGACGTGAATCTTACTAGCGCGAATAGCCGTAGGGCGCAAATTGCGCACAGGGTGAGGATTCTCGCTATTATCCGAATTCGTTCCGTCGTTTTTGTACAGTGTTTTACAAAATAAAAGCGGGGCCTATAGGGTACGAACTTTCTAAAAATAGGGGGGGCGTTTAATAGAATAACAGCTATATGTGTCAACATATTATATATATATATGTATATGTATAGACTAGGTAGGTGTACTGCATATCCTAGATTCTACTGTAAAGGGTACAACCCCCTTCTTGTATCCCTCTCTCTTCTAGTCCAACCTCTCTTCACTCTCGACATTTTCTCCTAGCCTAAAACCTCTCGCCACTTTCCTAAGCCTAGCTCCTAACCTAGCTCCTTGAGATGGTACCAGCGCAGGCCCTTCCGCTCGGGCCTTCTCCTCATGCTTCCGCAATGTTCGGTCCTCCCTCCTGTCCTTTCCGTGCAACCGCCACTGCCATGTCGTGCTGCCGTGACAGCGTCGTCGTGCTGCCGTGGCGGCGTCGACGCGCCAGCGCACGGACAGCAGCGGCCAGCGCCCGGTCTTAGCGCTGGCCAGCACGCCTGCATGCAGCCAGCGCGCCACACGGGACGGCACACTCCCTGGCACGTGCCACGCGGGGTGCCTGAGGGCAGAGCGAAGCACATCCAGCTGCGGCACTTTCTCCTACGCGAGCTGTAGCAAAGCCGCCAGGCTCGCGTAGTTCACTTGGCCTTCGGTGCCAATACAGCTGACATCTGTACTAGGGCGCTTACTCCTAAAGATCATCAGCGGCACTGTGTATAGCTAGGTCTAGTTCCTGTAGCTTCACACTTGCTAAGGCCTTGATTGTGTACTACTCTTATTATATTCTCCCGACTGGCCTTGTGGCCTCTACTCCAGTGGCAGGACTAGTAGTGCCGCCCTGGTTTGTTCTTGTTTTGTTTGTACTCTCCTGACTAGTCTTCAGACCCTTGCCTCAGAGGTTGGACTAGTAGTGCCACCCTGAGTTGCGTGTCTCTAGCCCGGCACTACCCCTTGTCTAACCTAGGGGGTGTGTCAAACATATATGCAATATGTTAGTATAGGCTAGTTAGGTGTATGGCTTTAGAGAGTACTGGTAAGATAACTAGGTAAGGAGAGGAGCCATGGAAATGGCATGAGGGTTTAGGAGCTAGGAAAAAATTACGAGAGGAAAGAGAGTTGGACTAGAAGAGAACGAGATACAAGAAGGAGGGGTTGTCCCCTCTACAGTAGGATTCAGGAATATAGCAAACCTACCAAGCTTAAATTATATATATATATTATATACTCTAATTTAACACACCCCCTAGGCTTGGTAGCCGAAAGCACACCACACACGCAGCACCCCCAAAACCCTTGCACCCCCATGCCCTGCAGCAGCGGTCGACCTCACCACGTGCGAGGCGGTAACGTCAGCGGCGGGGGCAGCGGTGGCGGCGACGGTGGCGGCGGCGTCGACGACAGTACGACGATAGTGGCGGCTCTGTCAGCGGGTGGCGGCGGAGCCAGCGGCACCTGCGGCATCGGCGGCAGCTTCGACGGCGGCGGCGGCAGTGACGGAGACCGCGGCTCCTGACGACATGGCCTGGCTCCGCAACGACGGGGCCGCAAGGGGCGAGACAGCCATCGGATGCGGCGGGGAGAAACGGAAATGCAGAGGAGGGGGGGCGAAGCTGCAGCGAGGCGCCATGGCGGCGCGGCGCTGGCTGACGTGCAGGCGAACTGGCTGGCGCTAAAACATTGCGCGGCCAGCTGCCGCCTGTCGACGACGCCACGGAAGCTCGACGACGCCACCACGGCGCGACGTCGCTGCCGCGGAAGCACGTCGACGCTGCCACAGCAACACGGCGAAGCCGCCACTGCGTGGCGTCGACGCCACGGCAGCGTATCGAGGCTGCCACGGCAGCACCACGAAGCCGCCATGGCAGCACGACATGGCTGCCACGGCAGCGTGGAAATGAGGAGAGGACGCTGCGGAAGCGTGAGGAGAAGGCCCGAGCGGAAGGGCTTGCTCTGAAACCAAGTTAAGATAGCTAGGTACGGAGAGGAGCCATGGAAATGGCGTGAGGGTTTAGGTGCTAGGAGAAAGTTACGAGAGGAAAGAGAGTTGGACTAGAAGAGAACGAGATACAAGACGGGGGGGGGGGTTGTCCCCTTTGCAGTAGGATTCAAGAATGTAGCAAACCTAGCAAGCCTACAAATATATATATATATATATATATGTATATAATATATATAATTTAACTAGTACAACCCACTAGGTAGAAGTACTCTGTACTGCTGTTTCTAGCAACCTCGCTACAATGAGAATAAGGCCCAAAGCACGAGATAAAGCCCATGGGATTTATCCTACGGAGGGGCGTCTATCCGTATGAGTACGGTACAAGCAAACACCCTGAAAAAAAAAAATGTAAAAGGCATAAAATCCTGATATCGTGGGGCCTGCCTCCAGGCTATGTACGGTAACAGTTCTACTTAGTGCTGGCAAGGTTGTTGTGAGCTGTGAGGATTCTTCCTTGTTTAGTTCAGGATGCTCATATCAAGGCGTGGAATATCATGTTGAAGTGAACCATGCGTTTAGGGTGGCCAGAATCTAGAGTTGGTGAAACCACGAGTAACAGTCAGAGGAAGACTTTACACCTTGTATTGGAAATGTCCGAAATGACAAGGAAAATAAGAATGAGTAATACAAGCATATTTATAGTCTAGGAAGTACCTATTCGGAATGTACTTGTTCGAGTGTGTCGCGACTATTCGCATGACATGGCTAGTGACTGTTCGTGTGACTGAGTGGCATGACTCTTCGGATGACTATACACGCGAGCCTACTATTCATGCGTTGACTCGCTGCTGCTGACATCATCACGCGCACCTTCTATATCACGCGCACCTTCTATATGAGGTATCGCGCTACTAGTGCAGTCTAGGTATAATATCAGGAATGCATAAATGGTAACTCTACCGAGTATACTTCTCAAATACAAGTGGGGCTTGCCTTCATGCGATGTACAGTAATAGTTATACTTAGTGCTGGCAAGGTTGTTGTGAGCTGTGAGGATTCTTCCCTGTTTAGTTCAGGATGCTTGTGTCAAGGCATGGAAGACTAGGAGGAGACTACTGCAGCGAATTCACGTCGAGAGCAAAAAGAATTGGCAATGGCAACCCTGTGTTAAAATAGCTAGGAACTAGGCATAGGACTAGCGAGAGGCTTAGGTAGGGTAGGAGAAAGTTGACGAGAGGAAAGAGGGGTGGACTAGAAGAGAACGAGATACAAGAAGGGGGGGGGGTATCCCCTCTACAGTAGGATTCAATATTGTAGCACATCTACCAAGCCCAAACAAATAAATATATAATTTGACACACCCCCTAGGCTTGGTAGTCGAAAGCACACAGCACACGCAGCACCCCCAAAACCCTTGCACCCCCATGCCCTGCAGCAGCGGTGGCTTCGTCAGCCCGGTCGACCTCTCGATGTGCGAGGCGGCGACGTCAGCGGCGGGGGCAGCGGCGGCGGCGGCATCGACGACGGTACGACGACAGCAGCGGCTGTGACGGCGGATGGCGGCGGAGCCAGCGGCATCTGCGGCATCGGCGGTGGCTTCAACGGCAGCGGCGGCGGCGACGGAGACCGCGACACCAAGCGACGTGGCCCGGCTCCGCAACGACGGGGCCGCACGGGGCGAGACAGCCATCGGCTGCGGCGGGGAGAAAGGGAAATGCAGAGGAGGGGGGCGAAGCTGCAGCGAGCAGGCCTCAGGATATTAGGGTAAAATACCCTTACGGCCCTTATAAAAAGGGTGGGGTGGGTGTTGGACCCTAAATTTTAAAAGCGGTTTAGTTTTTGACCCATGTGAAAAAAACTAGATCTATACGGGACCCTGCTTTTTCAGAGTGGT